TTAACCTGCCCCCCTGACCCCCCCCCCATCCCCCCCCCCCCCCCACACACACACACACACACACACACATCTGTCATTGTAAAATGTAATGAAGACTTTTGTGAATTCTTAGATAATTTCCTGTCTGGGAATATGCATGTTTTGGGAAAAGAGCTAGTATTTATTTTGACATTAAATTTTTTGTCAATTCAGTTGTCTTAGAAAATGTTTTGATTCAAGTGCAATGCCACTTCTTCTTACATGTATAAATTAGAATTATATATGTGGACTGAAATACGTACTAGTAAACTGTATAAACATGTATTCTTTTTTTATTTAGGCAAATGAAAGAACTTGAGAAAGAGGCTAGAAAACTTGGGAGCATTAGTCATGCAAACATAGTGCGACTAATAGGTGTGGTAATGGAGACCAATGAATATGCATTGGTTATGGACTATATGTCCCATGGGTCTCTCTTTGACTTTGTACAAGACCATGAAGTGCCTTTCCCTCTCTTAGTTCAGATGATCTACCAGATAATCCTTGGGGTTAACTACCTCCACACACGTAACCCAGCCATTCTTCACCTGGACCTAAAAGGACAAAATGTGTTGGTGAATGAGGATTTTAATATTAAAGTATGTCAGTGTATTTGTACACCAAAAATTATTGTTGCTTTAGTTTGACTTGATAAGATTTTTTTTCTTATTATTTGTTCTTAAGAAATTTTTTGTCATTTGTTTAAAATTAGTAATTACCTGTACATCTAAGTTAATAGTAAGCAGCTGAGACTTGAAGCTGCATGGTGTCCTTTTTTAGATTCAGTATCCTTTAAGCAGATTTAATTTAAAAATACTACAAATACTTGACTTAAGAGCAGAAGTCCAGTGTAGCTGATCATTGCGCAACATAGCGCAATACAGTGCAATACACTTGGAAAAACTAATGCAGCTACAATAAAACAAAGACAACAGTTATTCTCAACAAAATAGTGTGATATTAAAGTAAAGTATATTACTAGCTGGTGATAAACAAATTGTGCAGATTTGTTAAATTGTATCATCAGTATTCTTTTTATAGTAATATATTTCACTTTTATATCACCCTATTTTGTTGAGAATGATGCTTTCCAGTATTTACTTGTGACTTTTTTCAAGTGTATTGTGCTGTGTTGCACTGTATTGCACTATATTGCGCAATTCAGTGAGACCCGCAGAAGTTGTATATATGGTATCTTTTCTTCCCTTCTTTTATGATATTTTTTATCAAGACCATGGATGTAGATTATTTTAATTTGTTATTTTGATGAAAGCACCACTCATTACACTTAATGTTTTTAAAAACATCATATTATAAGCTACTTAAAAACAGCTACATGTAGCTGTTGCCATACTGGTATTCACACATTCTGGAGGTGATTCCTAAATATTGTCATTAATGCAACTTTTTTTTAACAATTCCTTTGCCCAGCTGTGTGACTTTGGACTGTCCCAGTGGAGGTCTTACTCTAGATTATACTCCAAAAAGCGGGCACCATCACGTGCTGGAACAGCCACTCATGTGTCCCCAATACAATGGGATGACATTAATAGTCAGCCAAATGTTAAGTTTGATGTCTATGCATTTGCTATTGTTGTCTGGGAAATTCTAGCCAAGGAAACACCTTTTAAAAGTAATAATCAAGATTTATTTTTAGTCATATTTTGATATTATAAATTATAAGTAATCATAAAGAAAGTCTGAGAGAATTACAGTTAGTGGTAATTAAATTGTAATGTAATGTAGTTACATGTACATGTATCCTTGTACATGTAGGGGTTCACATCCAGTGTTTCCATTATAAGGGAAAAAACCCAGTTCTATTCTCAGCACACAGAGCAGAATACTAGCATACGTGTTTGTTTACAATGTTGTACTAGTGTTGTTTTTCCTGTGGGTAATTTTTATTTCCTCAGAATCATGTAAAAATGTTTGTGAAGAAATATGAAGAGGATAAATTGATATAGATGGCTTTTGTGATGTTTTATTAAATGTTTTAAAATTAATTTTATAGATGCAGATGTGAAACTTATTGGATTTAGTGTGTCCCGGGGACAGAGACCTGATTTGAATAAAATACAAGTACCTCACACTGAAGCCTGGCTAAGACAGATAATAACTGACTCTTGGAGTCAAGATCCAAACATGAGACCCACATTTTCAGGTAGCAAATAACATAAAATTTCAGCATTTACTAGTAGAAATTTATTTATTACTAGCAGAGTATGTATTTTGGTGGGATGCAAGTGCAAATTAAATTGATTTTTTAGTATGATCTGTTAAGATATTAAAAGATACTACGATCACTGTTACAATCAATTACTTCACTGTAACAAGTAATCAATTTTTGGATTATAATTATATCTTTAAAAATTACGTTCCAAACAGTTAAGTCAGTAGTCAAAAGCATAATTTATAATGTTAAGATCTTTTAAATAAATAAATAAATACAGGCCACTCGAATTTCTTTGATTCTGTTCTATAATTTTTATTGAATTCAACCTTTAAAATGGATAATGGCCATCCAGCAACATGACCAGTATCGTATTGTATGTGACTTCATTCTGATTTTAGATCTTAAAGGAAGAGTGGATCCTATTATGCAGAGATATAAATTGCAAATTCCGGCTGCGAAAAGACAATTGTCAGAGGAATGCGAAGCTAAAGCAGTGAGTTCACTGAATTGAACACAGTTCAATATATTGTTTAACATTATTGTTTATATGTTTAACATAATTGAAAATTCATAGATTTGTTATTTCTTATCTATTTTCCACTTGCTAAATTAAAAGATTCATCAACATCGAAATATGCTTGAATATAAACTTTTATATAAAGTTAAACTTCTAACCTAGCTCAAGAATTCAACAATTGTGGTAAAGAGAAAGTTGCTTTCTCAATGAAAAGAAAATGATATTCAGGAAAAGAAATTGATATTTAGGAAGTGGAAGTGAAATATTCCTTTTTTCTATGTGAAAGTAGAGATTAGAAATTATAAGTTCATGATTCTATTGGAAATATTAGATAAAAATAGGAATTGGAGTGGAGGGTTTCACCCTTTTATCAGTTAATTGTAAAGTAATTTTCTAAATGTCTGTATTTTGGCCATGGAATTGCAATATAATGCAAATTTGAATGCAAAGCATTCTGAAAAAAATTGTACCTTTTATTGATAGATAAAGATATTGTTTGAGGTTGCCATCAAATACTTTAACCCAGTCCATGTTATACATATCCTTTTAACTTATTTGTATTGTATTTTATTTGTTAAGTCTATAGAACATATTTTATGGAATTAAGACTAAATAAATAAATAAATAAATAAATAAATAAGTAAAATGAATGAACATTATTATTATTTGTAGTGTGATAATGGATTTATATGGAATCCTGAGGAAGGTGCTGCAAATAACCTGAAGATGAATTGTCCCAAGTGTTTAAAGGGCACTTGTTATGGATGCAAGAAACATGTAGGTATCAATACCTTTCAGATCACCACAATATTTTCTGTTTCATAGCTTATGAGAATAGGTGAAATTCTCTCTTACAAAAATCAAGTACGTGATACTTGCAAAACAGGTCCTGGACCATGTTGGAGATTTCCTTACAGATTATAAGTGTTGCATGTATTAAAGGGTTACAGTTAAGGGCCTTTTCTTCACAATAAGTGATATACTATAGTGATACAGTTGAATAGGTATATGTGGAGAGGTCCTGACATCTAATTATTCAAGTGGGGGACTTAACTCCCTTTCACCGTTACTTCACAAGGTCATCTCCTGCTGTTGGGGTAGGTTTATTAATTACATATATAGTAAGTTAATAGTGAGATGATCTACATTGCTTCTGCAGACCTGACAGATGGAGAAAAATTATAACTTTTTCACAATTTCTTGCAGTGGGAAGCTGCACACGAGACTGGAAGGAGTCAAACGATCCCGAGTTGCAGGCTCAGGGACTGGCTAAACACTTGGAGGAGAATGGTATAGGTGAGCCTTCAGTTTGGAGAAGTCCCAAATAATAAATTATGATATTATTGTGATAAAATATCAGCTAAAAGAAAAATATTACAGTTCAGTTCTTTTATCATTTACAGATGCATAATATTATAGCGTAGTTGATTAATATATCATCATATTGGTATAATTGATACATCACACAAGAAGAAATAACTACAGACATTTTGGTGCAATTATGCTATTTTAATGACATTTGCCAAGCTTGCAGTATTTCAAAGGTTTTCACTCATTCAGCAGAGTATAAAATGCACATGTTTGTCACGAAAAAGATGTGATACCAGTATTCAGACTTGCGATGTCTCTGTTGTTCCCCAGAATGTCCCAACTGTAACTTCCGCTATGCTCTGGCCAAGGGTGGCTGCATGCACTTTAAGTGTACGCAGTGTCGTCATGAGTTCTGCGCAGGCTGTTACCAGGCCTTCAAGAGAGCAGAGGTATGTATATGTGATCACCATTGTATCAGCATGTTCAACTTTTTTATTATTGAGAGGGAGGGGGGCACAAATTGCTTAGCAAAAGCAAATAAGAATCAGTACATGGTGTGTGTGTGTGTGTGTGTGTGTGTGCATGTGTATGTGTTATAATTGTTATCTTCATCTTGTCACATTTTACATGTAAGAAATGGGGATGGTGTTTCAATTTAGTGTCAAAAATAGGTCCTTAAAGATATTTAGATATGACATGCATCCTAGTCACACTATTTGTGTTTTACGTGCAGTATATTTAAAATATTGCAAAATTGTAGTGTCGGTGAAGGGGCTTATTACACGTGCCAGAGTTCCTAATAAAACTTAATTATCTCCAACTTTGCGTATTACATGCAGTATATTTACAATATTGCAGAATTGTAAGATGTACAGTAAGTGTGCCACATCTGGCCTACACTGTCACCACCCCAGAGACTGCCTGTTCTACCTGAGCGACAACTCTGTCAAAGACCTACAGAAACTGCTACAGGTAAGCTAGGCTATGTCTGGTCAGTGTATTTTGTTTGTTCCGGTAATTTTCTGTTGCTTTGTGCTCTTTATAAGTATAGTTAACAACATTATTTGATAGCTGTAATGTACCTGTGGTTGGGGCTAGTAACTGTCATGTCTGAAGATTGAATGTACTAGTATTTGTTGGATAACCTGATTAAGATGCTTATTTTAAACTAGGGTCTGGTTAATCAGTGTGATTCCAAATAATAAACTTTTATGGAGTATTTTCCAAACTACAGTAAAGATAATCATGTGCCATGCACAGTGATGGAAAATTTCTGTAAGGCAGACAGTAAAACATTTGATATACATGTAACTGTTTTCTAGTAACACTAATTTATTTTCCCCTATGTCAGGATAATGAGATACAGTTTGACACAGAGCAGCCGCTCCCAGTGGAGGGAGAAGAGCCACGTGATCGTAATGCATGTCGTGTGATGGAACAGAAGGAGACGGTTGATGGCTTAAAAGATGAGTTCTGTGGACGGCAAGTTCCCCCACGCTATGCTGGGTTGTGCGAGTAAGTATTTTATTGCTACTAGACAGGGACCAAATGTGCAATTTATTTTGACCAGTGTTAGCTGAACTTTCTTTGCCATGTGAAGACTGTATTCTGTGGACCTATCTTGTATCTGTCTCCTCCTCATCCTCCACTTATTCTTTCTCCCCTTAAGTTTCCTTAAAACATGATTTTCAAATTGTTTTTTTTTTAACTTTATATATATGAAAGGTGAAGCAGGAGATTTCTTTATTTTTTTACCCAAGAATACTGCAAGCTGTTATTTTATTTGTTGTCATAAACTGAAAATATTGTGCAATGATTGCTGTGTCCGTAAGGTACAGTACACATTCTCCACGTAACTGACACCTTATACATGTTGCAATAACTTGAAAATATGATCATAGTTTAATTTGAACAAATTGTGTTGAACAGATTTTCTTTTATTTGGTATTAGGTAGCTGAACCTTCATGAACTAACTCAGTCTTTGTGTAACTTGAACACATTATTAAGTCAAATTCTTGCGGTGGCCCACAAGTGCACTCCAAATTCCAAACGACACTCCCAATTCTAAACCTCACACCGAATACTTAAACTTCACTCTCAATTCTTAAACCTCACTCCCAATTCGTAAACCTCACTCCGAATTCGTAAACCCCACTCCGAATTCGCAAACCTCACTCCGAATTCATNGAGTGCACTTGTGGGCCACCGTAAGTTCTGCATTTTTATCGACTCCCTTGTACTTAGTATAACACTTAAACTTTAAACTAATTATTTTCTCCCCAGGATCCACTATAAGGAGTACCTTGTTAGTCTAATCAACAGACACCATATTGATCCCTTAATTATTCTGTCACTAAATGAAATCAAAATGGTGCTGGGGAGAGTAGACAAGCAACCGCTAAAAAGGAATAAAGGAGAGAAAGATCCCGACTACAAGAAAAGGTTGATAGAGGTAAGTTGAATAGCTGATGGGTTAAAAGTATATCCAATTAATTCTTAATCATATCTTAATTTTATGTTAAAGGGAGTGTTTCCTTAGTTTTTATTAATGTGGTATTTGTAGATGCTCTCTTCCCCTTGAAGTACTGCCCTTTACTGCCATATTGTTTTATTTGCTATATTATGTAATTTACTGTATCATATAATCCAAAGTAATCATAATGATTTTTAACTTTAAAGGCAACTTCATTTGAACATTATCTTTAAATATGTATGCTGATTAAATGCCAAAGAATGCATATACAGAGAGATGAGATTTATTCAAATATATTAAGGCATAATAATAATTATTTTATCAATACCCTCTGCCCATAGAGCCGTGCACATTCAGTGCAAGCATTTTTAGGATTTTTTTATATGGTAAATTTTCATAACTGTTACAAGGGTTTTTAACATGTAACTTTCTCTCCTTTACAGTTTGTTCAAAGAGAGGTCCCCCTCACCTCTATGAGACCCAGTCACAGGGCAAGATCCAGACCCACTGCAGTATGAAGAACTTTCTCTCAAGTTGTTATAAAATTTACTGAAACTTCATTTCCTTAAGAATAAAAAAGAGACAGATTTCCCAGCGAAAAGAATGAATTTAATTGTGGAAGATGACATTTTGGCAATTTCAAAATAATTGCATTAAAATTTTGTTTAATTATTTTACTTCTGTTATTTTGCTTCTGCTACCAACGTGTATGAAGCTGTGACAAATAAAAAAGAGGATATTTTTTTCATTTCGTTGCAATTCATTCAGATTCTAGCTGTATTTTTAGGCAAGAGTACATTTTAACTTCAGAAAAGGAATAGTGTAAGCTTAAAGGGATAATAACTCTTCGTATGAAATCTATATTTCACAATAAAACCATCGTTAATAACTCATAGAAATATGATATATTCTGTTTTACCACAAAAACGGCAGTTATAGCTATTATTCTGGTATCTGAGCTTGTCTTTAGACCACGTGACCTCCATTGATGCCTATACTCTGTTAAAGTCTCTTAAGAGATTTTAACAAAAAACCAAACTTTTTAGAAAAAAACCAGGGACTAACTTTGAATGTAAAAATGGATTCACTAACCATTGGTAAGTATGGGAAAATTGTTGTTTACTCCAGGAAAATTCATTTTTTGGCCGAAACGAAGAGTTATTATCCCTTTAATGTGATTTTAACAATTAAATAGACTTCTGGAAGTCTCTAAAAAGCATATGTGGTGCTTTGTTGTAAAGTTGCTGTTGACTCTAAATATCCTCATTACAACATGATTATATCATAGTAATAATATCATAGTATAATAATACTATTTTATGTTACTGTGCATGTGTGCAGTTGCATGGTGTTATTGTTATTTATATATTATTGTTGACTGTCAAGAAGTAATTTAATGGGTGTCTCGCTTGTTTTCACATTATGTAATAGTAGGTTTGCACACTCCAGTATCCATTTCACCATAACAGTATGAAACGAAATAGTGATGTAACGTACATGCAATAAACTGAAATAATTCCCTACCAGCTGTACCAGTTATATTTCTGTGGTGTATATTCTCATTAAAACACCCACAAAATTAACTGATTTTACAAGGCTTTAGCAAATTGAATTTTGCATTTTTGTATCTGCTTTGATTCCATTTTAACACTAAAATATGCGATTATATAACCGCGCAGCGGCAATTTCAGATAAGTGTTGAGGCAAGCAAACCAACGAAAGTTAAATGTAACACGTTTTCATTTTCCAACACTGAAATGTGAAAGTTTCATATAACTGTTTATATAAATACAATTTCAAAAGGGGGGTTCTTTTTCTGAAAAAGTGGACCTTTTTCCATTAAACCTTCATGTACCAAGCTAAGATTTTACCCAGAAGGGACCTTTTCCCAGCAAAAGGGGGTTCTTTCGAACCCCCGAACCCCCCCCCCCCCCGGCTACGGGCCTGATATAACACTAATAAGGAGACATGCGTTACACGCGTTATTCAACTTATTCCAGTTATTTACTTGAAAGTTTATTGTAAAGCAAGTTGTTAATGATTGGCGATCAACGTCCCCTCTTGATTAAGAGCGACATCTATCAAACATCTGGTTCCGGGGGATTTCCAAGTCTATTTTTAGGACACCAGGAAAATTTTCAGCTTCAATTTCAAGCTGGGAGTAATGTGAATATTATCATCAAAAGGTAGTGCTAATCCTGGCGAAAATGTAAAATAAAGATGGCTCAAGGCACGTTACAGGTATGAAATGTTAACGTTAATTGAGAGAAGGAGTTGATACATGTATTTTACGGAATTGGTCTTATTATGATTTTTAATTTAAGATTTATCGGTACGGTTTAAGATTATATAATATACAAACCCCATGTACATGTACACTGTAGCTGCACTGGTCGAACTGATTTAGTGTCCAAATTTTTTTAATAAATCTAGGGTCTTAATATTACACGCATAGAGATACCGTTATTTTTCAGTACAGTATGAATAAATTGTTTGAACTTTCGGTATATATATCTCATTAAGATCAATTAAAATATATCCATCATTAAAGGCGGCATGTTTGCTATTTTTTTCAAGACGCCATGTCTGGAAATGAATCTTGCTAAAGTTGCCCAACTTGTTTTTTAACCTCTCGTCTTTTATCAACTGCTAACATGAGGGTGCAGGAGACAGATACTGTACAGTGTACTACTAGTACATGTAGAACTAGTATGTGTATTTATGGCGATTAAAACAAAATCCACAGACTATTATATAAAGGTGTTTGATTTGCTCATGGAAGGCACATATGCAGGTTGTTTAAAACATGTTTTTGTCAGTCCTACAGTAGCTTGCATGTATGCTGGTACACGGGTATACACACCATACTTGAACATGCACATGTAACCCAATGTCATACATGTACATGTACATATACTGGTAAATGATCATGAGTACACTGTGTACAGATATACATGTACCCTGTACACATGTAGTCTTTGATTTCATTTATAAGATGTACATCCATTCCTTCCAAAATAATCCAGTTGGAAATAACAGTGCTATATAAATGTACATCTGGTTGCCAGTTATACTGTACTGGTACTTCATTGATATACATGCACATGTACTATTTTCACTTTGTGACATCATTAACAAAATAAATAACAAAACATTATCATTGGTGAACTTAATAGCAACAGACAGCCAGGATTGAACGCAGTCCAGGGTTTGAACTTGTCCGATCTTGTGATTTGGAAAATGAGAAGTTGATTGGGACAGGAGGCTTTGGAAAGGTGTACCATGCTCATCACAAAGATTGGGGAGAAGTAGCAGTGAAGAAGGTTCTGGAGACAGAGGTTACTGCAAGGTGAGTGCCACCGTCTTATGTACTACTTGTAATGGGACTTGATAATTAAATTAACATGTGCCACTGTAGTCAACAGAGGGCATCAAGGAGGGGGGGGGGGGGTAGATTCTTTTTTGAAAAAAAAAAAACTGTCCCCCTTGCTAGAAGTTGACCCCAACTTGAAAACTTGAAAAGTGAAATACTGCTGCACAATTATTAGATAGAGCAAAGTTTGATTCAGAGCAGACATTTTCTTATTCTCCTACTAGTACCTGTATAGGTCACCCTGAGCTTCAGAGCTGACTTGACACTAACCTTTTCACTGTAGCCTATCTCCATCGTGTCAAGTAACCTCTGACGAAAATAGTTTGACCTATTTTATATAAGCCAATCGAATCCATGTTTCAAAATTTTTCACCAAAGTTTGGTGAAAACGCTGATTGGTTGATCGTCAATCGGCAATCCTCGGCTGATTCCGCAAGCTCCATACTAACAACATAGTTATTGTCGAGTGCGGAGACATCCGAGTAGTTCCGAGTGGTTCCGAGTGCATAACCGTACACAAAGAAAGCATGGAGTATATCGGAATTGAAACCAGAGCAGTATGATGCCCTGCATCATTATCTACTGAGGGATGATGTATTTTGCGTGCTGCCCACAGGTTACGGCAAGTCCCTGATATTCAGCCTTATCTTTGATTGGTCCGGATTTGAACAAAGCGCGCTTTGACTCGTTCGCGTTCATTGGCTAGATCGTTCAATGAGTCATTGAGTGCGGGCTTTAAATTTGATTGGCGGGCGGCGGGGGCACTCGAATCTGGTCAGAGGTTACTTGACACGATGGAGATAGGCTACAGTGAAAAGGTTAGTGTCAAGTTAGCTCTGAAGCTCAGGGTGGTATAGGTAGGCCTGATGTTAGAAATAAGAACCAAGTAGCCAGTATAAGCAGGTGCCTGTATCAGTGTATATTTAATGTACATGAAAATCTAGGGAGGGACTGCTGGAGCTGAGGGTTCTAAAAGTTGGGTGTCTGGTATAAAAAGGATAATTACATACTTCAGGCTCACAATAGTATGGGCTCCATGATAACTTGTTAATCTGTGTCTCATAAAATGATTTTGGTCTGAGGAAATAAAACGAGACCTGTGTGAAATATTACTCAAGACAATCTGTCCCATTTTTAACTTGTAATTTTTTACTTGTATTTCTTTCATAGACATGGACTGAAATAAAGTGCTGTATTTTGTTTTTCTGGTATCAGGACAATTCCCCCCGGACTATTCCCCCTGAACAATTCCCCCCCCCCCCCCCAGGACAATTCCCCCAGGACAATCCCCCCCTCCCCCAAGAAATATATATTTATATACAAATATAAATTAAAGAGTACAAAGTTAAAATCTTTTCTTCCATGAATATTTCTTAGTGTGATGATGCAACTCGAGGATAGATAATATTAATTTTATTAAACAAATTATTTTCATGGAGTACAACTTAAGTACATAAAATTTTCAAGATAGAAGTACAGAGCATTTTATTAGAAATATGATCAAAGTATATCTCAAGGTAAAAGAGGGGTAAACAGATGATCTCACTCATCAGGTAACCCTTTGATGAATTAACTGTTACTTTTAATTGCTTTATTACTCCCCTTTTGATTGAGTAAGTCATGAATCAAGATGCATCTCTAGGGGGAGGTGGGGTAAACAGATTTTCTCGCTTATCCAGGTATCCCTTTGACTATTTGTCACTTTTAATTGCTTGACCACTACCCACCACCCACCACACTAAAAATATTCATAAAATATCTGTTTACCTGTTCATCTGTTTACCCCACCTTTACCTGAAGGATAGGTGGTTATACTTCGATAAGATATTTAATAAATCTTCCTGTACTTGTACTCAATGAAAAGGGAATTTGTTATAAAATAATTTGTTTCATGATGAAGTTGTATTATCACACTAAAAATATTAATAAAATGGATGAAATGTTTTAAACTTTACACTGTCTACTTAATATTTGTATATAAATATATATTTCTTGGAGGGGGGGGGTCGTCGGGGGGGGGGGGAAGGTCGCCTGGGGGGGAATTGTCCGGGGGGATTGTCCTAGAATCTGCTTTTCTTTTTAGGCAAATAAGGGACCTGGAGAAGGAGGCTAGAAAACTTTGGAGCGTTAGTCATGATAACATAGTCCGACTAATAGGCGTGGTTATGGAGACCAATGAATATGCACTGGTTATGGACTATATGTCCCATGGGTCTCTATTGAACTTTGTAATTGACCATAAAGTGCCTTTCCCGCTCCAAGTTCAGATGATCTACCAGATAATCCTTGGGGTTAACTACCTCCACACACGTAACCCAGCCATTCTTCACCTGGACCTAAAAGGACATAATGTGTTGGTGAACGAGGATTTTAATGTCAAAGTATGTCAAAGTTTTTTAACACTTAAAATTATTGGTGATTTAGTTTGACTGAATAAGTTTTTTTCTCATTATTTGTTCTTAATAAAATGCTTTTGTCATTTGGTTAAAATAAGTAATTTTGTTACTAGTACGCAGCTTAGATTTGATGCTGCATGGTGTCCTTTTTAGTTTCAGTATCCTTTAGACAGATATTAAAGGTACTACAAATACTTGACTTCACACCAGAATTCAGTGCATCTTTTTTCCCTTCTTTTATGATATATTTTATCAACAGTATGGATAAAAATCGTTTTAATTTGTTATTTTGACAAAAGCGTCACTCATTACATTAAATGTGTTTAAAGCCAATGTATATGCTACTTAAAAATAGCTAAACGGTGCCATACTAGTGTTCTCAAATTCTTTAGTAAGGTGATTCCTAAATATTGCAACTAATACCACTTTTTTCATCAATTCATTTGTTCAGCTGTGTGACTTTGGCCTGGCCCAGTGGAGGTCCTATTCAAGATTATACTCCAGGCAGAGGGAGACATCAAATGCTGGAACAGCCACTCATGTGCCCCCAGAACAATGGAATGACATCAATAGTCAGCCAAATGTTAAGTTTGATGTCTATGCCTTTGGTATTGTTGTCTGGGAAATACTGGCCAAGGAAATGCCCTTTGCAAGTAATAATCGAGATTTATTTTTAATAAAAGTAATATTTTGATTTATAAATTAAAATGAAGAGAGTCTGAGAGAATCACAGTTAGTGGTAATGCTATTCATCAGCTTGAAAATGATGTACAGGTAGTTACACGAACATGTATACTTGTACATATAGGGATTCCCATCCAGAGTTTCCAATATAAGGGAAAATAACCCCTGGCCTATTCTCAGCACACTGAGGAGAATACTAACGCATCTGTTTGTTTACAATGTTTTACTAGGGAGTGTTTTTTTTTCCTGTGGGTAATGCTATTTTTTTCTTAGAATCATCTAAAATATGTCTCCAAGGCAATGTGAAAAGGATAGATTATAATGTTTTTTGCAATGTTTAATTAATGATTTTTACAGATGCAAATCCAGCACTTATCAGAGAAAGTGTATCCCGGGGACAGAGACCTGATATGAATAGAATACAAGTACCTCACAGTGAAGACTGGCTAAGACAGATCATAACTGACTCTTGGAGCCAAGATCCAAACATGAGACCCACATTTTCAGGTGGTTAATTACATAAATCTGGGCATTTACTAGTAGAAATTTATTTATTGCTAGTAGAGCATGTATGTTGATGGGATAGAAGTGCAAAATAATTTTTTGTGTGATCTGTTACTGTATTAAAGACAATATGATCACTGTTGAAATTAATTAATTCTTTGGATTATAATCATATATTTAAAAATTACATTCCAAACAGTCAAGTAAGTAGTCAAATGCATAGTTAAAATGTTAAAAAGATATTTTAAATTAATGATAAACAAATAGGACACTCATATTGTTGTGATTCTGTTCTATATTTTTTTAAATTGAATTCATCATTTAAAATGGATAATGGCCATCCAGCAACATGACCAGTATCTTATGTATATGACTTCATTCTGTTTTTAGATCTAAAAGGAAGAGTGTATCCTATCTTGCAGAAATATAGTGCTCAGATTCGTGCTGCAAAAAGACAGATGTCAGAAGAGTGTGAAGCTAAAGCAGTGAGTTCATTGAATTGAACACAGTTATATTGTTTAACATAATTGAAATTTTATGTTAAAGAAAAGATTAGAAATTGCAAGTTCATGAACTTTGTTGAAAATATTAGATAAAAATGGGAATTCCATTGGAGGTAATTCACGGTCTCCCCCTTTTATCAGTTACTATTAAATTATTTGTTCTAAAAGTCTGTTTTTTTAGCCAAATTAATTTTCAGAAATTGTCAAGATTGGAAAAGTATCATATGATATTGGTATTTTTTCATTTTGTTTAACTCTTAGTATCCTTTTTCATAATATTAATAATGATACAATTTACAGGTACTAGTATTTTTTTGTACTTTTGAAGAGAATTTTTTTGTGGACTGCTGAATTAAAATGTAAAATGATGATAATCACAAAATAATAAATATAACACTAATTCAAAAGAAGATTTTGTAATTTCTTTGCCTCACTTTATACTTGCAAGTTGTTTTTCAGTCAAGCCAAGCTGAGGCGGGACATAGTGGCCACACTGGCCAGCCTCAACAAGACCCCAGGGGTCGGCAAGCCAGCATGGCAGGCATGTCAAGACCTTTAAACCAAGCACAGGCCAATCAGGTAATATGGTAAAAAAATGAAATATGATGAAAAACAAACAAAGTACTATAATTATATTAATGTAATGTAATTGTTTGTTTTAATTTTTTATCATATCACAGACAGTACTTAAATTCTTTTTTTTTTGTCTAGTTTTTTTACTGATATTGTCTGTCCAGGCAAAAAGATAAATTAATTTGATAACATTTTTTACAAGTGAAAATTATTATAGAAATATTTTAGACTTACACTGCTTGCATATTAAGAAATGGTATTTATCCAAAACACCCTGTACTTTGTGAACAGCAGAGCAGCAGAGGTGCCAGAGAGTTGGAGGAAGATTTAGGGGACCTCAGTCTGCTGGAGGATGGCAGCATGGGCTATGGTGGTCAGAGGCCAGGTAGTGGTGGTGACCAGCAGCTAAGAGACCAAAGTTACGGCAAGCCTGTACAGAGGGTAACTGCTGACAGGTTAGGGTCCTCACTGTGACATCCCTCACACACCTCCATAGTAACAAGTGTATACTGTCAGTCCTCTCTCTCTCTCTTACTCCCTCTCTCTCTCTCTCTATGCGAGTGTGTTTGTGTGTGTTTGTGTGTGCGTGTGTGTGTGTGTGAGAGAGAGAGAGAGAGAGAGAGAGAGAAGAAAAGTAAAAGAGATTGGGAAGATTAAATAAACACTCTTTTACATCAATCTGCATAATTATGTAACCCTAGTTAAAGAATAAGTAAATTTGACTGGATTTGTTTAGTCAAAGTGTATGTGCACCTTTGCTGAATGCTTTGTTTCCATGGGATTGATATTTGGCTTAATTCCTTTTATGTGTAGCCGTGAGTATCGCCCTAAAGCACCAGGACCACACTATAGTGAATCCCCAGGNGGAGGATGGCAGCATGGGCTATGGTGGTCAGAGGCCAGGTAGTGGTGGTGACCAGCAGCTAAGAGACCAAAGTTATGGCAAGCCTGTACAGAGGGTAACTGCTGACAGGTTAGGGTCCTCACTGTGACATCCCTCACACACCTCCATAGTAACAAGTGTATACTGTCAGTCCTCTCTCTCTCTCTTACTCTCTCTCTCTCTCTCTATGCGAGTGTGTTTGTGTGTGTTTGTGTGCGTGTGTGAGAGAGAGAGAGAGAGAGAGAGAGAGAAGAAAAGTAAAAGAGATTGGGAAGATTTAATAAACACTCTTTTACATCAATCTGCATAATTATGTAACCCTAGTTAAAAAATAAGTAAATTTGACTGGATTTGTTTAGTCAAAGTGTATGTGCACCTTTGCTGAATGCTTTGTTTCCATGGGATTGATATTTGGCTTAATTCCTTTTATGTGTAGCCGTGAGTATCGCCCTAAAGCACCAGGACCACACTATAGTGAATCCCCAGGGGTTTCTCATACCCCCTCTCTACATGTACACACAAATGAGGAACTTCCCAGGCAGAACATATCAACTGGACTGGGGTAGGTTGTCAGTGTCTTAGGAGGCTGGAATTTATTGGATTGTTCAGTTAATAAGATTCAATATGTACTTGTGAGGAAAAGTGTGCTGTGTGTTTTTACCTGTTATGGTAAGTAACAGCTAGTTATAAGCCAAGATACTGTAACAGAAACTGCAATGGGAACGTCCATTTATATTACTAGGTTATTTTGGCCATATTTTCCATCATTTGACAGTCCAAACCATAATTTGGACCCACCTTTTCATTAGAGGCATCTGGCATGGTTTATGTTTACATAAGTATTAATTTGCCAGCATTTATCAATTATTTTGTTCATTTATTCATTGCAAGACAAATCATTGAAATTGAACTTCCTATTTTGTATTCCTTATTTTGCTGGTCTGAAAAATACACCCTTTGATAAAATTTAACTTCTGAATGTTATCTGTGGTTCAAGCTTTCAAAAATCGAATGCCCTTTTAATTTTGTCCAATTTTAGTGTGAGTGTTTTGCATGTTTTTTCCTGTTCTGCAGAAGACATCTTATTGGCTATTGCTGCTGCTTCATTTGCTTCTTTGAAATAATTCTAACTTCATTCTCTGTGATGGTTACTGTTTTCTAAATGCTATTTCCCCCTGCTATTGTTTTGTCCTTAATTTAAAAAAGCATCATTTAAACAAACATCTCACTGTCAGTAATCCTTGATTCAGAATGCCCCAATCACAAGATGATATATATTATTGTAAATATTTAGACCTGATTATCAACCTGGAGTCAACTTAGATCCTCGCCTCTGCAACACCAACCCACTCGGCCCTGTCCAGAGGAATACAACTGAGGATTTGTAAGTACACACCCCTCTTTTCAGGAGTTAGACCCCATTCCCATAGATTTTAGCAATCTTTCCCTGTGGGGAGTCTCACTAGATTACTGTCAGCTTAGCTGGCTGAAGTGTCTGTCCCGCCTACTAATATAAAAGCTGTAAGGGGGTAATTAACTATGGTGCACGCTCGGCTGACTGCAATTTAGTGTGAACTCCCAGGGAGTTAGGTCGATCTAGATCTAAATCTCTGGATTGATCTAAATCTTTGGGAATGCACCCTTAGACTTTAGGTTACTACTAGGCAGGCCCATAGTTGGGGGTGGGGGTCAAACTAACTGCACTTTTTGACGGTAAAATTTTATTTACCAGTAGGTACACCAAGGTTCTTTGTGTAAAGGTCCAATTTTTCTCTTCAAATGGCTGGCCATGGGCCTGAACTAGTACTACTAGTAGGACACTGAGGATTTTGAGAAAGCTGTGTGGTCATCAAGAACTGTTGAGAACAACTAAAGACAGGAAGCTGTAAGAAACCCTTTTCACTGATGTCATGAATGGATTGATGTGGAACTTAGCGATGTGAAATGTGGTCTCAGTTGCTAAGTATATTAACTGGTTATCAGTGCATAAATAAAGTCAGACCCTCCCCTTCCCCCCCCCCCCCCTCCCTCCCATGGAGGATCTGTCTTTGGAATTTTCTGACTTGACATTTGGTTCCAATCATGGGGCTTGTTCACATCAGCACCAAATTAGACCTGAATAAGTCTTACTGATGTCATGATGTCAGGGTTCTTCATTATGTAGAATTTTAATATAATTTTGTATGTTAAAGGACAGTTGTGGTGCTTTGTGGTGGTGCATGCAAATTATGCCAGTTTGCTTGATGTGTTGTACAGTTGTAATGTGTGCACTTTGTATATTAAAGGACAATTGAGACTGGTGCTTTGTGGTGGTGCATGCAAGTTATGCTGGTTTGCTTGATGTGTTGTATTGTGATGTATAATACTAGTACTTGCTCATTCTGCATAACATATGATAATTTCTTATTGCCCTTTTTGCATACATGTATATTTAGATCCCAGTATTATAATCCGAGGCCAAGGTCAGCTGATGCTAGAGGTCAAAAGTCACATAATTCCCCTGATATTGCCACTGATGGAGAGACGGTGACAACTGACTCTAGGCCATATAGTGCTGGAAGGACAGCTGGTACAGGGACTTTCCCACAGTCTATACCCACAGAGGGAGGGTACTGGTTCTATCCTGTACCTGGGCAGCCTCCAGTCTTCATCCCAGCGGTAAGATCTCTTCATGTCTTCTGTGTACCCCTGTACATGTATATTTTACATATTTTAATATTAATATGATTGTGATATGTTGAAATATTATGTTAACAGAAGATGATGATATTTCTGTAAAAATACCTGGATGGCCTTCATTCTGTTACTGTGCAACATGTACTGTAGTATGTTCAGTGTAAAATGTAGAATTTTCATAATTGGTTTTTTTTCATAATTTGTTTTTCATTGAGCTGTGTACGGTACATGTATATTTTACATGTAAATTTTGATGCTATATATTGACATTTTCATAATTGTTATTATTTTGACATGCATAAATTAATTATGATGTAAAATGGCTTAATTTCCATTTTTCTCCACTGTGATATGTTGAACACCTTATTTTCATATCTAATATTATATAGAATGCATTTTTTGTATCAAAATGTAAAATTTAAAAGATTTGCAGTTGGTTAACATTTTAATATGTTGGGTTCAAAAATTTTAGCTACATTGATAAAAAAAAAATAAAAACTACAAAGCACTTCAACTTATGTGATAAATGCCCTAGCCCAGTTTCCTGCTTCTATTTTATACAAATTATTCCCCATCTGTCTTCTTAATCTATTTACTTGTGTTTTGATATTCAGTTTGCAGGAATGCCTCCTTCCCAATTCTTTCCACAGCAACCTGGTGTCAATGGTTCAGCCAAGCCAGGCCCAACCATTAACACCTACAGTTTCCCAGATGCTTCAGGTAGCATGACAGGCCTTGTACACCACCATTGTAAGTATAAAAAGTGGGAATGATGATAAACAAAATCATTGTACTGCTTGAAGTTTATTGAAAAATGATGTTCAGATTAACATATAGTAAAGCCTATGAAATGGTAAAAATGTACCTTCTGTTTTTTTTTGTTTTTTTTTTTTTCTTATTTGGGTAAGCAGTCAAGTCAACATTCCTGTGTTCACTTCTGGATTTTTTCAAAATGATCATCAAGTATTGATTTTAATACCACGCAATCAGATTAGATCAGTGCTCAAACTAACAAATTGCCAGACACAATATTTGCAGTTTTCTTCTCCGAGTCATTTTCAGAAACCCAGTACTGGTACCCAGTTTATTGAATGACTTATTATAATATATTATGAAGTTGGCTGGCTTATTCATAATTGAATAATGAGGATTGCTGTATTTTAGCTTCAGGTGGCACAACTACCATGATGAATATGCAAGGGCTGGATGGAGTACAGATAGGAGATAAGAATGTGATGTATGTGGGGGCCAGGCCACCAGGGGGCAGCACTGGAGCCAAGGGGAACCCTGGATCAAGAGTGGTTACCAAGAAAAAAATTACAAGTAAGAACTTTATGATTTACATATATGTGTTGTTAGGTCTTTATAAATAAGACAGTTGCAGTAGCATGAAACTTGTCAAAGTCAGAATGCTGATATCCTGCATATTCCCATATCCCCCTACCAAAATAATAATAATAATAATAATAATAATAATAATAATAATAATAATAATAATAATAATAATAAGTGAAAATTTATAGAATGGACTTTTTGGATTAAAAAATGAAATATATGTCGGTGATGAGACAACTATAAGTGTTATCTATAAAAAAACATCAATCACTTTTAACCCTGATCATTATATTAATTTTTATAGTTAGGGCAGACAATTTTTACAATTTGGTTAAAGAGCTTTTCTAAAATTTATGTCAGTCCAACAATGTGTTATATAATATTTTCAAAAAGAAAAAAAAATGGCACACTGTCATCATGTTCTCTAAGCACTGCCTTTTCTGGTCCATTGAATAGAGTTTTGACTAACACAAACTATGCTGACTTCATTTTAATGAACACTGAATACACTAAATATGTAGTCCAGTTTAACACACACACACACACGCACGCACGCGCACACACACCCACCCCGTCTCAACAAGTGTTGAATATTATCCCAACAAACATAATAAGTAACACTGCCACACCTAACACACTGGCTACTGATTCATCCCGTAATGTACTCACTTCTTATACACGCATTTCAGCCTCTTCAAGAGTTATCACTACAGATGACATCGACCTTGTGGTGCAGCATTTGGGCAGCCACTGGAAGCGCCTAGCAAGGAAGCTGGGGTTTCAAGACGGTCAGATAGACGTCATAGACTCCGACTTCGCCGTGGACGGACTTCAGGAGAAGATATACCAAATGTTAACCAGATGGAAACAGAAGGTTTCTACTAGGGCCACAGCTAAAGCTTTGGCTGAAGCTCTGTGTGAGATAGGAAAAGCTGATGTTGCTGCTGTGTTACCATTGTAAATGGACATAATAGAATACAGTTTAATCATGATGAAAATTGTAGTCTATAATAGTGTGAATTCTTTAATCTGGAATATTGACGATTATTCCCTGTATCTTGTGTTTAATTTTATCACCATTTTAGGCTGTGTTAACAGTCACATGCAATGGCGTATTTAGAAGGGGGTTCTGAAAAAATCACACCGGTATTCCCCTCTTGAAATTAGAATTTTGACAAGCTGATGTATAATCTAAGTCGTGCCAAATGGTACCGTTCGTCCTCTAAAATACCAAAAATTTTCACGACCCATCTGCCGGGGGGAGGGGGGCTGCTTCGCATCCGCGGACCCCCCCCCCATCCCCCCTTCAAATAATACTGGATCCGCCCCTGTACATGGAGCACATGCTGTTATTGCATCATGTAAACATCAAAAGATTATCATGGGTTGTGATCAGATAAGGTATTGTCTTTTAAAGGTTATTCGATAATAAAGAAGTATTTGTTCATTAGACCAAGACAAGACTGATAAGGTCTAAAATGTGTAAGGCATTTTACAACAGGTACACGTAATTAGTGTATGTTACCTTGGGTTTGTCGAAGTGCCTACATGAAATAATGTTTTTTTTTCATTAAATGAAATTTATTATTTAAAGGTTACACATTTGATAATAATCTCTACAAATTTACCTTGAAAATGTGTCACAGCTGGTGAATGTGGGCAGCGCGTAACTCGAATTTTTGTAACTCTGCGTCGCTGCGTACGCATGGGTATGAGAGAACTGAATATTCACAGATACCAAGACTCGCGTGTATCACAATACGCTAACTTTGGTCAGTTAATAAACGTCGGCTTGCTAGGTGTTTAATTGTAACTTTAACAGCAGAATTGTATATATAAGAATGTTAGAATACACAAAAGCGTTTTCCTATTGTTTTCAAATATGTTTTCATATTACATTTCAAATATAGGCCTAGTGTTTCAGACGTGGCTTACTGTGCTTGTTTTATGAAAGGCGCTCTTAATATTACCCCTTTTCAGAATTAAAAAGAATTATTAAAGCAATCCTCATATATTAATGGGGTATTAGTGTCTGTAAGAGAAGGAACTGTGTATACATTGTTTATGTGCTAATCTGATGTTTTAAATAAAAATTTTCATATTAGTTTTGATGCTATATCGTCTGGTTAAGTTTATTGCTCCGTGGATTTAAAATGAAAACTCGGTTAGTTCGACATTTGTCACTTGTAGCAGATATATCAACGTTTATAGGATTAAATGGTAAACTAATAGACTACAGATGAAAGCCAGTAGCTTGAAATAAAACATTTCTGAATTTGCACGGTTTCTGCTGTCAATGTGTCGGTCTCCATGTGCCGGAGAACTCGCCGTAGTTTTTCCTTGTTTAGTCGTGGCAGGCGTGGTTGATGTGGATGATGTGACCTCAGGATCGTAAAGATCTATGATATCTAAAGTCGCATTATTTGCTAAAAGTGGAGGATTTACATTACAATCTTTTGACGCCATTAGAAGTTGGGAATTACTCTTTGGCGCTTTCATCCATTCGATGGCCTGTGCCATGGTAACTACCCAGACATCCTTTCTAGCCGTCATGTTTTTTAAGAACGCGTCAACGCCAGCTAGTGTGTAGTTGTTCTTCTCAAACCAAGTCGGTCGAATGAAAAGGCCCAAGGGCGCTCTCTGGCCCTTGTAATGCCTCAAAAAGTTCTTCATCAGGTACCTGAAAGTGTCGTCTGCGGAGTTAGTCTGACAGTCGTCTGCTACAGCGCACGGGGCCCCATGCGTTGAAAACAAACGGTTCAGGGGGAATTCCCAGATTCCAGGAAATGGATCGGTGGGGCAATTTCCTGGTGCAATATCGCAAAGGTATTTCTCCGGTGGTACGTCAAGAGTGTAGGGAAACACAGCGGGTTGGTTTTCCGTAGCGTCTTCACTCACTGGCCCCGTCACGAGGGATGAATCGTACATGAAATTTTTGTCCGCCATCATGCGAAACTGATTATTACCGCCTGGTTGAAGATACGGCACTCGCAAACCGCGAATTTGACTAGGCGGAATCCTGGCTTTTAGACTTAATAGATATCTTTGTCCAACCATTTCTGTGACATATTCCTCATACGTAGCGTCATTCCAGAACATTTCTGGGCGTTTCATACTCATGCTATTTACGCCAATTTCGTAACCAAGGCGATAGAGCTTCTGGACGCTGGCGTAGTCCGTACGAATACGACCCTCCTCCCCAGCGTTAGAAACGAAAAGAGTAACCCCAGCGGAACATTTGTTCGGATTAACCAGGCCCACAGGAAACAAGCGTTGATAAAAGTCCGCGTATTTCGGCGTCACGGGGCCGTCGAACGAAAACACGACTAGCTGTGGAATGTCACCAGGCGGCAATGAGAACGGCGCTTGGGTGCTGGGACATCTGCAATGGGGTGGCATACAGTTGAGCTCACTGCACAGCTCGGCTTGTGCCCCTGGCACTGCCAAACACGCCCAGACGATAACAAACAAGGCAGCTCGTGACGTTAGCTCAGTCTTGGCCATCTTGAATAAAAATCAATACAATTTTGTACAGCTTGAAGTCAGATTCAAGACACATGCCACACTTCGGCTATAGCTGTTAAATACTTTTTTCATTGTGTACAAAGATACTTGGGTTAGATTTAAATGCGTTTGTCAGCTTGATGTCATTTTAATTGGCGTTAATGTTCAATTTATGTGCGGTTGGCAGGTTGTGTCTAGGCGATGTGGAGGGTTCTGCTTGGAGATGGGCAACATTATCATTCTCCAACTTGAAGGCCCGTGGTATCTTTTATCACGGTTTTTGTGCGAATTACATGTACCTGCCCCTTTATCATTTTTCCTTTTAGTGATATGAAGGTAAAGTGATTCATATGATTTCTGTCTTATATTCGCCAAAGTGATTCATGTGATTTTTGTCTTATATTCGCTTTAAGTGTAATTTTTATGTACAGACACAGATGTGTCTGTACATATAGCCATCATCTGCGTCTGTCGTCGCCGTCGTCGCCGTCGTCGCCGTNCGCCATTTTAGGCTGTGTTAACAGTCACATGCAATGGCGTATTTAGAAGGGGGTTCTGAAAAAATCACACCGGTATTCCCCTCTTGAAATTAGAATTTTGACAAGCTGATGTATAATCTAAGTCGTGCCAAATGGTACCGTTCGTCCTCTAAAATACCAAAAATTTTCACGACCCATCTGCCGGGGGGAGGGGGGCTGCTTCGCATCCGCGGACCCCCCCCCCCATCCCCCCTTCAAATAATACTGGATCCGCCCCTGTACATGGAGCACATGCTGTTATTGCATCATGTAAACATCAAAAGATTATCATGGGTTGTGATCAGATAAGGTATTGCCTTTTAAAGGTTATTCGATAATAAATAAGTATTTGTTCATTAGACCAAGACAAGACTGATAAGGTCTAAAATGTGTAAGACATTTTACAACAGGTACACGTAATTAGTGTATGTTACCTTGGGTTTGTCGAAGTTCCTACATGAAATATTGTGTTTTTCATAAAATGAAATTTATAATTTAAAGGTTACACATTTGATAATAATCTCTACAAATTTACCTTGAAAATGTGTCACAGCTGGTGCATGTGGGCAGTGCGTAACTCGAATTTTTGTAACTGGGCGTCGCTGTGAACGCATGGGTGTGAGGGAACTGAATAATCCACAGAGACCAGGACTGCATACAATACGCTAACTTTGGTCAGTTACTAAACGTCGGCTCGCCGGGTGTTTAAATGTAACGTTAATAGCAGAATTGTATATATAAGAATGTTAGAATACGCAATAGCGTTTTCATATTGTTTTCAAATGTGTTTTCGTATTACATTTCAAATATAGTGTTTCAGACGTAGGCCTACTGTGCTTGTTTTATGAAACGCGCTCTTAATATTACCCTTTTTCAGAATAAAAAATATTAAAGCAATCCTCATATATTAGTGTTTGTAAGAGAAGGAACTGTGTATACATTTGTTGTAAAGCAAATTACTTACACTTTCACTAATCACAGATAATAATTAAAGCGGAATCAAATGAGTAAAAGGGACAAAGAGTTATTGAGTGTAAGTTAAGTTTCTCCAAGAGTCAACAAGTGTAGAACATGTTTTTAGTGTCAGAAAAAGATGGAAAAGGTCAAAGTCAATAACAGTTAATGTGATTGGTTAATTTCATAACATATTTTAATTTTGATCATGCATTTATCACAAGATAACTGAGTTTTGGATAAGAGCCAAGTATGAGTAATCCAAATAATATTTTAGATATCTTTAATTGAAAACAAGTCTCTAATGGATTACCTAATAAGGAAATGTTGCATAGTGACTTGCAACATGAGAATGGAAAATATTTTGTAATCACGCAAAGACAATGGAAAAGAAAACAAGTAAATGCGTGATCAGTACGGAGAAATTGAGTATAAATATCTGTGAAATTGTAAGAAGCAAGAGTCGGTGAATAAACGTTCGAAAGCTCCAAACTGCTGTCGTCATTTCTCACTATAACACATTGTTTCATACGAGTTGTGATGCTCGGTGATAATTCGTTTGTCACTTCCAGCATATATATCAACGTTTATAAGATTAAATGGTAAACTAATAGACTACAGATGAAAGCCAGTAGCTTGAAATAAAACATTTCTGAATTTGCACGGTTTCTGCTGTCAATTTGTCGACCTCCATGTGCAGGAGAACTCGCCGTAGTTTTTCCTTGTTTAGCCGTGGTGGGCGTGGTTGATGTGGATGATGTGTCCTCAGGATCGTAAAGATCTATGATATCCAAAGTCGCATTATTTGCTAAAAGTGGAGGATTTACATTACAATCTCCTGACGCCATTAAAAGCTGGGAATTACTCTTTGGCGCTTTCATCCATTCGATGGCCTGTGCCATGGTAACTACCCAGACATCTCTTCTAGCCGTGATGTTTTTTAAGAACGCGCCAACTCCAGCTAGTGTGTAGTTTTTCTTCTCAAACCATGTCGGTCGAATGAAAAGGCCCAAGGGCGCTCTCTGCCCATTGTAATGCCTCAAAAAGTTCTTCATCAGGTACCTGAAAGTGTCGTCCGCGGGATATGTCTGACAGTCGTCTGCTACAGCGCACGGTGTCCCATGCGTTGAAAACAAACGGTTCAGCGGGAATTCCCAGATTCCAGGAAATGGATCGGTGGGGCAATTTCCTGGTGCAATATCGCAAAGGTATTTCTCCGGCGGTACGTCCAGTGTATAGGGGAACACAGCTGGCTGGTTTGCCGTGGCGTCTTCAGTTACTGGGCCCGTCACGAGTGACGAATCGTACATGAATTTTTTGTCCGCCATCATGCGAAACTGATTATTACCTCCAGGTTGAAGATACGGCACTCGCAAACCGCGAATTTCACCGGGCGGAATCCTGGCTTTTAGACTTAAAAGATACCTCTGTCCAACCATTTCTTTGACATATTCCTCATATGTAGCGTCATTCCAGAACATTTCTGGGCGTTTCATACTCATGCTATTTACGCCAATTTCGTAACCAAGGCGATAGAGCTTCTGGACGCTGGCATAGTCTGTACGGATACGACCCTCCTCCCCAGCGTTAGACACGAAAAGAGTAACCCCAGCGGAGCAATTGTTTGGATTAACCAGGTCCCCAGGAAACAAGCGTTGATAAAAGTCAACATATTTCGGCGTCACGGGGCCGTCGAACGAAAACACGACTAGCTGTGGAATGTCACCAGGCGGCAGTGAGAACGGCGCTTGGGTGCTGGGACATCTGCAATGGGGTGGCATACAGTTGAGCTCACTGCACAGCTCGCCTAGTGCCCCTGGCACTGCCAAACACGCCCAGATGATAACAGACAAGGCAACTCGTGACGTTAGCTCAGTCTTGGCCATCTTGAATAAAAATCATTATTTTGTTCAGCTTGAAATAAGATTCAAGACACATGCCACGCTTCGGCTATAGCTGTTAAGTGCATTTTTCATCGTGTGCAAAGATACTTGGGTTAAATTTAAATGCGTTTGTCAGCTTGATGTCATTTTAATTGGCGTTAATGTTCAATTTATGTGCGGTTGGCAGGTTGTGTCTAGGCGAAGTGGAGGGGTCTGCTTGGAGATAGGCATCATTATCTTTCTCCAACTTGAGGGCCCGTGGTATCTTTTATCACGGTTTTTGTGGGAATTACATCTACCTGCCTCTTTTTCATTTTTCCCTTTTAGTGATATGAAGGTAAAAAAAGTGATTCATCTGATTTCTGTCTTATATTCGACTTTGATGTAATTTTTTTTAGCTAGTGTTCACAATTAAATATCATCTGCATATTGAAATTATTTCTTCTCGAAGATAACTTTCGAAATGGGGCATAATACCAAAGGCAAGTTGAGCAATTATTTTACAATACCAGAACATGAATTTAAGGATGAAAAATAAGCCACATATGTTTAAAATGTCTTATTTCATCGCCCATTACGAAAAGGCATTAAGTCTAAGTATATGTTTTAATATTTATGTAATTAAAAAAATATATGAAGAGAATTAAATATACTGTGATCCCGTTTCTTTTCATGAAGCTGCAAGTTTGTTGATTATTGGTTCTTTGCGTAAGTTATGACTCTGGGCGTATCTTTATTAGTTACTTATTATAATTTAGGACAACATATGTTACATGTATATGGTGGACTGGTTACATTGTCGGTGTTAAGGAAACAATATTACTCGCCCTTTGTCGTAAATACGTTGTCTATATCGTTGTCTATATATGTCTTAACGCTTCTTCGACCGATCTTAGTGGCAGTCGTGGGTTTAAATAGGCGCTTCCAAAACTGGAGAATGCACTCTAATGGTTTTTCTATAATAAAAGTGGTTGTGAAAACAAAGAAGCTCGCACAAGCACGCGCGCACACTCACAAACACACTCGCAAACACAAACACGCGCCTTTGAATTGGCGAGGAGCAGATGTCGTGAAATGACGCTACTGCCCAACATCACCACTCCCGAACAAAACGTATGCCAATATCAGTAAAGCACAGGCTTCAAACAACTGCGCATGTGCGAAAAGTGCGCTGTTTGAAATATACAAGTTGGTGAAATTGACAAAGACCGTCTGGTTGATTTTATTTCATTAGCTCTCTGGTGTCTTTTTGAAAATTTATATTAGAAATGTTCTATTGATTTTATGTTGTANTTTTAAGGGGATTCCCATTGTATTTATAGTGTTATATGTGGCCCCAATGGGGATTTTCACACCTCCCCTACTCTTGATTAATAAAATTCTTCACCTGGAGGATTGTAAATTACATTGCAAAATACATTGAAAATCGTAGGAAGGTTAACTGCAGATAATGCTGCGAGGATATTCTTAACAGTGGGGGAACTCGGCCAATATAAAATTTTTAACTTCGTTTTACGATTTTGGAGCGCCTGTTCTAATTTTTGAAAGCGAGGCAATGGAACCAAACAATGCGATACAATTTGTAATCTCGTAAAAATTGCTATTTTTATATAAAGGTTATAGCATGGAGTACATCGAAATGCGACTTGTTTATTATTATGATCTTAAACAATAATTAATATAAAACAAACGATATAATACGTTCTTAACGTTAGCCTATTTATTAGCTTAATTGATTTTTTTTCGTATTTGGAGATTAAAAACACAAAAGTTGTCTGGTTTCATATCGAGGCACTACGTTTCGTTCGTGTGCTTATCAGTAAACGTCAAAGTGTCAAAAAGGGGTGTGGGGTGGGTGTGGTAAGCGGCCTCGAAATGTTGAGCTTCAAAAAAAAAAAAAAAAAAAAAAGGTACGCTGTTGTGTATTAGTAGGTCAAAAAACTGGCACCACAAAATGTTTTGTATCTTAGTATTCAGTATGGAGCAAAGGTTATTTTAGCTTTGTATTTACTTAGCAGTATCATAAAGTTTGATAAAAGCCTATATTGCCCGAACTGCTGTTGTGGGCCAAAATAAATGAACTTTGAGCGTTCAACTGAATACAGGTTATCAGTGGGTCAAATACTGGGATGATCGGAAAATACTACGTTGTGTTCATTAAATATTCCGAATTCGGTTAAGCCTGAGGTAAGGTTACTTAAACAGAGTAGGCTACCTGCTTACTCAGATGGATAATGAAATTTGTCAAAGAAAGTAGGCCTATATATCTCGGCTTTGTTGCAGAGGGCCAAGGCCGGAGAAGGGGGTGGAAATTGATATGTGTGTGTGTGTGTGTGTGTGCGTGTTGGGGGGGGGGGGGGAGTGCACGGCTTACTCCAGTCTCTAATTTTTTTTTTTTTTTGCGACATATCATATATTTAATTTTAACAAATAATTTCAAAATTTATGAAAAATATTCTATTTTAGCTCTATCCTTTCTGTTCCATGGTTCCTGGAAATCTACCTGCTACTCGTTGCATGGAACGCTTTCTGTATTCACAAAAATTATAGCGAAGGCCGTCGTTTTGGTTATTCACCAATGACACTACTCTATCTTCTTTCCCGTTGATATGAATCATGAATTGTTAGAATTGTAGTGCCGAATTACCTTTCAGACCATCGTGGAACTACGTCGCGTCGATTGTTGGTTTTAAAATTAAAATTGTTTCATGCATCATAAAACAGCTTCATGTTGGTTTAATCAAACGAACCTACGTGCTTGTACGCACGCGTGCGTACCCATATGTGTGTGCGCATGTGCTTTCCCCAGTGCGAAATCAAGGGTCAAAAAATGGGTCATCGTACGAGAACTGGGTCATTAAGTGTACACAATATACGACAACAGGTAAATATAATATGCATGTATTAAAACCACGCCAGCCCCGAGGTCAAAAAGTGGGTCGCTAATACTGTACCATGAATAAAACGATAAATGTAACGAAGGAGATATATTCATTATATATCTTCTTGGTCAACTAAAATCACAACAGCCTTGTGTTTTCAGTTTATTTATCTGCAGCAATCACTACACAGTGCGACCTTACACCCAGCTGAGTTTGACCAGAATATTACATGTGGTCTTGAGTGCTCTATACTGAAAACGGGGAACACCATGGCACATTCACAGGTAAAATATACTTAGACTGCATGTCTTTAAAAGCAGAAAAGGGAATTTTAAGAACAAAAATATAACGGCATTTTGATTTATTGGTATTGTATAATATAGTCTTATCATGCTGGCAGCGTTTTTTTTTTAATTATTGCCGCATCGTGCTGAGAAAAATATCGAAATTTAAGACCATGTCTTGAGTCCCCCAGAGCACGCTATGACAATGTTTATGTTTAAGAGGCAGTGATTTGATTGAATGGAAAAGATCGTGCATGAACGTGGACATTAATTGTAAAATATCGACTCTGTGAAGCGATCACAATCTGTTCTAATAGTGTATTTAGCGCCCGTTTCCCGTTTTATAGTTCATAGCTTCATGTACATTGAATGGCGGGGTTAAATTCATGCAACATCTTTTGCTCTAGATACATGCATTTCAATTTAATTTCTATTCCGAGGAACTACGATGCCTTGCAGGAAGATTTCCGTCTTATGTCACTGCTTTATATACATATCATATATTGTGCAGCTACATGTCTGCACTATACCTATTATAAATGGATTTTCTCCACTGTTATCAAGAGGATGATAATGAGCCATATATATATGAACAGAACTAGCTTCCCCAATATTATCGATTGGTGTAACGATGGCTGATAGCCAAACGATCTGACTTGGTGTATTATTTTGTTGCAAGTGTGTGTGTGTGTGTGTGTATTTGCAGATAATGAACCTCTACATCCTCGTCCCTGCGTTACTCCTCGCGAATACCAACGCGGCGACTACGCCGAACATTGTGATATTCCTAGCAGACGACACGGGCATTGGGGACATCGGTTGCTTTGGAAACACGACGCTACGAACGCCAAACATCGACAATATCGCAGCGAGAGGGCTCAAGATGACCCAGCACCTTACTTCGGAAGCCACGTGTACTCCGAGCCGAGCTTCACTGTTAACTAGCCGATACCCGATACGGTCAGGTAAGCATGGATGAGATAAGTGGTTGAGTATTTCCTCCATTCTTCTATAAATTACCGAGTGTTTGTCTGCTTTCTATGATCCCCTTGTTTAATGTTTGTCTGCCTCAGGTCTGCCAGTCTGCATTGTCTAATACGTCTATTATAGTATTCAAACAGAAAACAAATTCAACGAGATAGGAAAAAGAAAAACATTTCTACATGTAAATATTACACCCTTCATATAGTCCTCCGTTTCTTTCTCCTTGAATTGTCTTGCGCAATAGTATATCCACTACCGGCTTGCTAGGCCTGTCGCAGTTTCACCAGAGCCCCATTAGCCAGTCGTTTCAGGGTGACCTGGGATGGTCTTCATGGCTACCGTAGCGGTCATGTGAGTTAAACCCACGATAAACATCTTCCAAACCCAGAAATCCCTTACTTTGACCGCATCCACCTCCCACGACAATGGACGAGGTGTTGGACTTTGGGAGGCGGAAGACCGAGAAAGAAGTGGGTAGATGGAGATGATTTTACAATCAAATAACATCCCACTCAACCAAGCATTTCAGCTGGCCAGAGACAGATAACTCAACTCTTTCTCCCCTCGACACCCTAAAGGGTACAAGAAGGATGAAAAAAATATAGTCCTCACTTATTTGTTTTATGAATCTTTTTGTTGCTATGCAGTCTTTTCTGAACTCCAGCTTACAAATATCTCAAGTTGGGTCCCATATAAAACATCCAGGTGTCCATATAGACTTCCTTACAGGGTAGGGTTTTGCTTTATCGCAAACTGTTTTACAAATAATGTATATTACATATAATGCCACATTTTGTATAAAAATCCCTGTTTTCTCTTAGGTCTTGCCAGCCCAACCGGTATGCCTATAATAACCAATGTGGCGAGTCCTGCCGGGCTTCCGCCCAATGAGACCACCTTCGCCAACCTCCTTCAAGACAAGGGATACGTCAACGCGTTTATTGGTCAGTAGTGGCATTGACGCAAATGCGTTATATAAACGTTACTTGGGTTTGAAGGACGTCAATTAAAGTGAATATACAAGCAGATTAATACATACAAATTACGAAAAAATTAGAGACAATGAAAGAAATTATGTAGCAATAATCAAAATAAGCATAGTGGAAATGCAACGCCAAAGGCTGTTGAAAATTAACAGGTGCTCTACTGAACTCTCAACTCTTCTGTGACATTTAATATGCCTTAATTCTCCTTAAGTCACATCACATATAAGTGCTTTTTTTCTGTTTTTTTAAGGTAAATGGCATCTGGGATTGAATTGCGAGAAAAATGGTGACCACTGTCATCACCCAAACCGCTTCGGGTTCGACCTTTTTTACGGCATGGTCATGACCAATGCCAGGCTCTTTGATCCCGGTTGGGATTACGAAGTTGTCTTTAGGGTTCGACCGAACAGAGTGCAACAGGTTGCAATAGTGTATGTCGTAGGCCTACTTGCCGGCGCCGTTCTGAAGCGCCTCGGCGCCATCGGCTCAAGAGGGTTCCGTCTTTACGCCTTCCTGGTGACTTTACTCCCAATTTACACCTTTTTACTTTTGATAAATTGGCCATGGCTAAACGGTGTGTGGCACAGGAATGGGGACGTGGTTGAACAGCCGATCAATTTTCAGAACATGACGAAACGGCTTGTCATGGAAGGAACAGACTTTTTGGAGGAAAGGAGCCAGGATAAGAAACCTTTCTTACTGTTCATGTCCTGGCTCCAGACACACACGTTTCTTCATACCGCGAAGGAATTTGAAGGGGTACGTTGCTTTGTATGTGTATAGTGTTGGATGCATGAATGTTGTGCATTTTATCGCACATTGGGCAAATATTAATTGTATTGTAAATAGTGCATTGCGTTTATCACTTATGTGACCTTGACTTCATCGGTTTCTAAAGAAACAACAACAATCAAGATCATCCATTTAATGACAATTATGGCAATGGTTTGAGGACGCCAAATTGATGTAGCACTATAAATTCATCAAGACTGAAAGATGTCAATGCTGTTTCCTTTTAAATCGCCCCAATTGTTCACCCCACCCCATGTGACTCCCAAAAACCTGCTTGAAATGTTCCCTTCAGTTCCATTCAGAGGGAATCAGGTTATCAAAGAAATATTTAAAATTTCACCGGATAAATATTTTTGACGAATATGCATGTATTCCACAGCAGACAAAATCCCATTTCTCACAATCTAAAGCTAGCAAACCGAATGTGCTTTCCTTTAATTTTTAAAAAGACACAGCCTTAATTCCAGGTCGCCCAGCACAGCCCGTACGGTGATAACGTAGAGGAGATGGACTGGGGGATAGGGGAGATCATGAAGGCTCTGGACAGACTAAACCTCTCTGACAACACCCTCATCTACTTCACCTCCGACAACGGCGGCCATATTGAAGAAAAAGATCGCCTTGGTAACCGGGCAGGAGGTCACAATGGGATCTATAGAGGTACATCGGTAGTAGGACATGTGAAGATAAATGCAAATGTCTGTTGTGTTAGAGTTGGATTATACGGATGTGTTTGGTGTGACACTGCACAAAATGGACATTGCATCCATTTTTAAGTGTTTTAAAAATCACAAACCTAAATTATGGATGGATAACCTACATCCTTGTCCAAAGCCATGTCGTTTCTGTTTTGCATGCATCTTTTATTTGTTAACTTGTAGATATTCCATTAAAATTGATTATGTTAATATATTTGAAATAATGCCACACATTGTTTGACCTCTTGTGTCATTGAGTCTAAATTCTAAATAATGGAGGACATCTATTAGAAACAATTTTACATTTTAAGTTAATACAGTACATAGAAGGGTAGGAACTAAGCATTTTATAATATCGAATTACATATCAAATAACAGCACGTTTTAACTCATGTCACGTGTTTCTATCACAATCTCCCCCAGGCAGCAAGTTCCAGGGCTCCATGGACGGTGGTATCCGTGTCCCCACTGCATTCATGTGGCCAGGGCATATACCCGAAGGTACCGTCACGGACGAGCCGACTTCCCAGATGGACATCCTTCCGACACTGGCCGATGTGGTAGGGTATTCAGTGCCCAAAGACAGGGCCATTGACGGCAAGAACATCTGGCCTCTGATCACAGGAAGGGCAAAGATGTCGCCCCATGAAGTGATGTTTCACTACTGTGGTATGACAATTCAAGCAGCGAGATATCGCCCGCGTGGTGAAGGTGAGTGTTATGCCCTGCCTGCTGGGACTAGTTCCACAAAGGAACTTTAGCCCTAAATTTGCTCAAATGTAGTCTACCTCTACACAACTAATCCACAAGTGTTTGTATACATCTATAAAGATGAATAAAATAGATCTATTGATTTTTTCCGCAGAGAACGCCGTGTACAAGCTATATTATGCTCGCCCAAATTGGAACCCCGGTACCGAAGGGTGCGACTTCATGTGCTCATGCCTTGACGTGACTTGGCTGGACCGTCCGCAGCTCTTCAACGTTGCCATTGATCCATCGGAAAAATCGCCGTTGGACATCAACGCCAAGAAACACGTTGAGATAATCAAACATATCAATAAAGCCAAAACCGAGCACGAAAAAAATCGAAATGAACCAAAACCGCAAATGGAATTTTTCAAGGCCGCCTTTCGACCTTGGCTGCAGCCGCTGTGTAGTGGAGATCACTTCCAGTTGTCCTGCTCAGACCCAAAGTATGGCGCGAACACTTCATGGCCTGAAGTAGTCTGGCCACCAAAATCGTAAAGTACTACAAGGCAATTATGATTTCTTGCTCAGTTTTATAAAACACCATCGAAAGTGATCTGATACTAAATGTATAATGGAATGCACAAACAATATTTACGAATGCAAAAATGTTATGTGGATATACTAGTAGTTTCACCGAAGTAACTTCTTTGAAGATTGTGTCGAGGATTTGGAGAGGGGGGGGTATAAAAAGAGCTCTTTCAAGAAAATATCTAAGCAGCCACTGCTCTAATCAGTTAGTATAAATTTGAAAAAAGTTACAAAGTGAAAACAACATTATGTTTTAAATTTTGCAAACAGTTTGTATATATACTACAATTTGCAATATATTGTCTCATTTGAATTCTGATCTGCATAAATACAGGTACACTTTTTTAACCATGTTTTATTTCTATTCACACTCGTTAAACCCGATTTTAAGGATAGCAATATTAGGGTTTTCTAAGAACGTATTTTGCACACATACATATACCGGTACCTCTTACATACACAGTACTTATACTGAATACTGCCTTTGAATTGTATTATAAGAAAATATGCCATCGACGTAGAGATCAAGAATTTGTGAAAATAGGCCAAATGAGTTGTCGTATCGGTATCAGTGCTTTGTGTCTGTGCAATTAAAGTTTTTGTGGGTTATCGCTTGACATAATTCAATATTCCCCT